TCCTCGATGTTCCTGGCCCCGATGTGGTGGCCCAGCTGTTTGCGATACCCTTCCTTGTACTTGTACTGAAACACAAACCAAAATATTTCAATTCTGTATCACCTATAAATATCGGTTACTGATATGAAATATTTCTAGCAATAACCTTTTCAAAGTTATCTATAACCTACCATTAAAAAAAACCCAAACATTCAAATCAATTCTCATGCTAATAATATTCTAGGATCCTAGGGCTAAAGTTTTTTTGCTATTGAGTTACAACACTAAAGAGAAATTTTTTATCATTTTGCTTTCTGAGGAAATGTGCTTCACTAATGCTAGTGAGAAATCATCCTGGTCTTCTTAAATACATTTAATCCTTATTACATATAATGATAAACATACTGTAAATACTTATTTACACATATAGGGTTATGAGCTATACAATTATCATGATAGCAGCATTATATTGTTCTTATAATTATCAACATTTTTTTAAACATATATGATCATTTACTTGCAAAAATCTATTACTTAAGTTTATATTTTAACTGCAGTGCCTTTAACTGAATCCTGAAAACTGAAGCTGATAATTTTCAGGTTACAGAGGACAGATATCAACATAGAAAGAAACAAAAAATTAGATGCTTACATCACTGGCAATTTGCCTGGATGCTTTGGCTGCTTGGATGGGGATGGCATCAGCTCTCAAATCATAGCCTTTCTTCTTTGAATCTTCCATGGCCTGTCTGTATTGTTTCTGAAGAAAGAATTAAACAATGGGACTCATGTAAGTTCCATATATTATATTCTATGCAAAACAAATTGCTTGGAAGTAGATCTAATAATTGTGCTTAGATTTATTATAACCAGTTTTATCTATCTTTAACTCAAAACCTCAGATCAGTAGCTGATACAAATTCATGTCAAAGGAAAACCTTTGCTAAACACATTTGTTAATTAATTTTTATTTTACTGGTTTAAATAATGTAATATTGACTACAATTTAGAGCTAAACTTTTCTTCTATACAAACGGAGTAAAACTTACTTTTTAAAACCACTGATGTGGCTTACTGATGTGAACTTGTTTGCCTAAAATAACACTGAACACTGGCATCACACCTTTTCAGAATTATGCTGTTATTTACCTTTCTGGTATTAATTTTTGGCTTCCCAACATTATGCACACTGGCAGAAATGACTCCCCAAAAACCCAGTGGAAACACCCAACTTGTGTGGAATTTATGGAATTACTTCTCACCAGTGCTCACTGTTCTATGTATGCACTACTACAAATACAAAAACAATGCTTTTAAAGTCACAATTTTTTGGATAAATATGGGAGTTACTTAAGAAAGTGATAGTGTCATATCGAGAAGGTTTCCCAGAACATTCCTGATCCAGCCATGACACAGAGCAGTTGCATTTGGAGAGCTCCCACACTCACCAGACTGTAGTTTTTCTTGTTCTCTCTAGCCAGTGTGATTTCAGGTGTGTCAGGCATGATGTGGATTTGTGTCTTGTCTTTATCCCAGGCCTCAGTATACAAACGCTGCAGGAAAAACACAACAGAGTACTTGGACACATCCACAATTAATAATTGTGACAAATTAACTTAATTATTATCTAGGAAGGTATTAAATCAGCTCATGATGAAAATAAGTTTCCCGTTGATAACCAAAAATGGAAATTACATTTTTACAGCGTTGCTGTGCTGAAATCCCACAGGTCTGTGGTCTCAGGGGTTTAGGCAGAGACTGCTGATGTGTTAACTGATGAAATGCAGACTCACCTTGTTCATGGTGTCTGCATTCTGCTTGGCCAGCACCATGGGGATAGAATCTGGGATGCTGGTGAACTTGATGGTGTCTGGGTGCTGGCGGTAAATTTTGTCACTCAGGATCTCCCCTGCCTTCTTGGCCTTCTCAACTTCCAGGGAACCAATTGGGACCCAACCAATGCCTCGCAGCCATTCCAGGTCAGACTTGTACACATTCTGTTACAAAATATAAAGGCAGCAGTTAAAAATTTCCCATTTATAAGTTAAGCAGCATTTAAATATCTTAAAATTGCCTATTATGAAGGATTATATGGAGATAATTCTGCTATTGGCTGTATATAAACATTCATAATGCCCTTCTATTCAGATTGCTTCACACCTCAATATATAATGACCTTTAGAACAGTGGAAAAAGAACACAACATGAAAAAAATACTACATGAGAGCAATTAGTCTAGTTTATACTCCAAGAAAATTACAAACATTTCAGAAGTCCAGAGCTTATCAGC